CATTTTTATACTTAATAAACTATTCTCAATATCATTCTCTATCCATACACAGAATGCACTCTCACCCTTTCATGTGGCTTTGTGTTATTTTACTCAGTGGTACACCGTGTATCTTTTTTCATCCAGCCCTCCACTGACGGACAACCATCTGAGATGGTTTCTGTTATTGTCTCCACTTTACAGGGAGGCCATGAGCTGCTGAGAGGCTCACCGGCCGCCGTTGCTCAGCCAGTGCGCTGAGGCGTGGGAACTCCATGCCCTTAACCACACACTGGACTCTCCCCCTCCTGGATTAGTTTCCAACTCGATTTCTTCCTCACTCCTCCGTTCTTAGCAATTATTTTGGTATCCTTTTGTTCCTTCAAATAGCACATATTTACAAGCGCTGACCTTGTGCCAGGCACAGGGCTAGGCCGGCAGGATGGAGAGGGACATGACAGAGAGTCCTGGGCCGGCAAGGAGCTGGCGTACTAAGTCTTTGTGCGTTTTTGTCAGCCACCTCAAAGCTTCCATGGAACGATGCAGAGAATTAATAAGGAGGCCTGGTCCCTGTTTCCACTAATGAGGAAACCAGTCGTGCCAACAAATCACTGTTACAACCCCGTGAGCTGAACACCATAAAAGAAGCCTGGGAACCCAAAACATCGAACTTGGTAGCACTGGCCTCTTCACCCCAACCTGGCCGTCCTCCAGTTTCCCATCTCAGTGAAAGCCCTCAGGCCTAGGCTCCTCCCACTTCCATCCCCAGGTCCTGCACCCTATCTGGGACCACCCCCTAAAGACCTCTGGACTAGGCCCAACTTTGCTCTCCATGGCTACCAACTTGCTCGGGCCTCTTCTTATAGGCGCCACCCAGTAATTTCCTCCCTGGTATTCTTTTCTCCACCAGCCTCCTCCCACCCCCTGTTCCTCCAGCTCACATGTCCCAGTGTCATTTCCTGGTTCTAACCTTCCAAGGCTTCCCTTTGCTGCCCTTGGGCTAATGAGGTGGTGGCATAAGCCTAGTGGTTAGGATCATTGGCTCTGGAGTCTGAATCCCAGCTATGCCACTTATTAGCTGTGTGACCTTGAATGACAGTTGGGTGACCTTGAATGACAGCTGTGTGACCTTGAATGACCTACTTAACTTCTCTTTGCTTTGTGTGCAAGTGCATGCTAAGTCGCTTCAGTCTTGTCCAACTCTTTGTGACCCTACCGACTGTAGCCTGCCAGGCTCCTCTGTCCATGGGATTCTCCAGGCAAGAATTCTGGAGTGGATTGCCATACCCTCCTCCAAGGGATCTTCCGGACTCAGGGATCAAACCCAGTGTCTCTTAAGTTTCCTGCATTGGCAGCTGGGTTCTTTACCACTAGTGCCACATGAGAAGCCCTTTGCCTCACCTGAGGCAAATAAATGATGGTAAGATAAATGATAGTGAGATAAATTAGAAAATGATGATGATGATAACCCCTACCTTGTACAGCTGGTGTAAGAATTAAAAATTAATGGACCTGGTTGTCCAATGGTTAAGAAATCTCCTTGCAATGCAGGGGATGTAGGTTCCATCCCTGGTCTGGGATCTGAGATTCCCACATGCAGTGGGGTGTGGCAAAAAAGTTAATGAATATAATAATAAGTAAGGCCTTCGTGATCTGGACCCTGCCTAGGGGTCTTCAGTCTTACCAGTTTTTATCTCCTCTGTAAACCCACTGAAACATTTTTTGGTTTCCTCTAAGCCTCTGGCTCCGCCCTCCCTCTCCTCCCAACCCCTCTGAGCTGAAGCTGGGCCTAGGAACCAGTTCTTCTTCCCCACTGGATCTCTACCAGCTGTCACGTAGTGTGTTGAATGAATGAATGAGAAAGGTATTGCATTTGGGTTCTGATGGATGAGTAGGCGTTTTTCAGGTAAAGAGATGTTCAAGACTCGGCTATAAAAGGACTTTCTCCATCCTTGGAGCTGGAAGCTCCCAGTGACTGGAGGACAGAAGGGAGGTTAGGCTGGAGAGGAAGGTTGGGCTTAGGCCAGAACTTTCTGTGTGGACAAAAGATATCTATGAAGGGAAGGCTTTTGTGATAGTGGGTGGGTCACTTGCAAGAAAGACTGAGGCCGGGAGCTTGGATGTGTGGTGGCTAAGCTCTGGGGCAGCAATGAAAATCCCTTCAGGGCAGTAAGTTGTGGGAATGGAATGAAGAAGGAAAACTTTGAGAGTTTTGAGAGAAAGAATTAATATGATCTCCTAAACACTTTTACTGAAGGCATCTTAGAAATGATGTTGGGCAGTTGTGGGAATAAAGAGCTAAAGTCGCATTTCCTCCCAACTTCAAGAAGCTCACAGACAGACCTATAAATAATATAGATGCAGGGAAGGCCAAATTTGGTCACTGCAGCCAGACTTACAGAGATATCCCTATATATGTAAAATCAGCAAACTGAAGGACCATGCATTTCTGAGTGCCTCTGTCATGTACTCCAAGTCTCTTTTTATTTGTTTAAAACATACTGCAGGGACTTCCCTGGTGGTCCAGGGGTTAAGAATTTGCCTTCCAGTGCAGGGGATGCAGGTTCAATCCCTGGTTGGGGAACTATGATCCCAGAGACCTCAGACCAGCTAAGCTTGCAGGCGGCAACTACTGAGCCCTAGTACTCTAGAGCCCACAGGCTACAACTGGAGAGTCTGTGCACCACAGTGAAAGATTCCCCATGATGCAACAGAGATCCTGAGTGCTGCAACTAAGACCTGATATAGCCAAAGTAATCAATATTTTTAAAAAACCACAACACCCTGCAGTGTATTTCCATGACCCATCAACTTTTAGAGACTGTGTAGTGTAGAGATTCCAGTGGGGCCCACTCCTGCCATTTAGCAACTCATGATCTTAAGTTACTAACTTCTCTTAGCCTAAGCCCATGTTAGCTACCATAGGAAGATGAATGACACTGGAATGCCAGGAGAGAAAAAAATGGGGCTGGAGGCCTGTGGGTAGTGTCAAGATCCTGCAAAGCCTTGTGAGCTACCAGAAAGGGTTTGGATTTTATTACTAGTTCAATGGGAAGCCATGATCTTCATCATTCAGAAAACTAAGATCATGGCATCTGGTCCCATCACTTCATGCCAGATAGATGGGGAAACAATGGAAACAGTGACAGAATTTATTTTGGGGGGGGCTCCAAAATCACTGTAGATGGTGACTGCAGCCTTGAAATTAAAAGACGCTTGCTCCTTGGAAGGAAAGCTCTGATAAACCTAGACAGCATATTAAAAAGCAGAGACATTACTTTGCCAACAAAGGTCTGTCTAGTCAAAGCTATGGTTTTTCCAGTAGTCATGTATGGATGTGAGAGTTGGACTATAAAGAAAGCTAAGTACCAAAGAACTGATGCTTTTGAACTTTGAACTGTGGTGTTGGAGAAGACTCTTTTTTTAATTTATTTTTTATTTATTTGGCTGCACTGTGTCTTAGTTGCTGCATATGGGATCTAGTTCCTTGACCAGGGATTGAACCTGGGCCCCCTGCATTAGGAGCTCAGAGTCTTAACCACTGAACCACCAAGGAAATCCTATGGAGAAGACTCTTGAGAGTCCCTTGGACTGCAAGGAGATCCAACCAGTCCATCTTAAAGGAAATTCGGTCCTGAATAGCCATTGAAAGGACTGATGCTGAAACTGAAACGCCAGTACTTTGGCTACCTGATGCGAAGAACTGACTCATTGGAAAAGATCCTGATGCTGGGAAAGATTGAAAGCAGGAGGAAAGGGGGATGACAGAGGATGGGATGGTTGGAAAGCATCACCAACTCAATGGACATGAGTTTGAGTAAGCTCTGGGAGTTGGTGATGGACAGGGAAGCCTGGCGTGCTGCAGTCCATGGGGTTGCAAAGAGTTGGACACGACTGAGTGACTGGACTGAACTGAACTGAATGGAAAGCCACTGGGCCTTCCCAGGTGGCGCTAGTGGTAAAGAAACCGCCTGTCAATGCAGGAAACATGAGATAGGAGTTCGATCTCTGGGTCAGGAAGATCCCCTGGAGGAGGGCACAGCAACCCACTCCAGTATTCTTGCCTGGAGAATCCCACGGACAGAGGAGCCTGGCGGGCTACAGTCTGTAGGGTTGCAAAGAGTCAGACACGATTGAAATGACAGCATGCATGAGAAGCCACTGATGGGTTGTTTTCTCTTTTTTTTGTCCCAATTTATTATTGCTTCTCAATTGAAATTTAACTTCCTACAGTTAAATGCAAAGATCTTAAACGTTGAGTTGGATGAGTTTTGACAATTATATACATCTGTGTAACCACCTGCTCAAAGGAGACACAAACATTTCTATTATCCGAAAAAGGTCCCGCCTGCCCGGTTCCGGTTAATTCTCCCCGTTTCCAGAGTCCGGTGGGTCTAAGCAGCCTGCGTTTGCGTTTGGAAAAGATCACTCGGGCAGTAGTGCAGAGGACTGCCTGAGACCAGCAAGGAGAGGACGCACAGGCTAGGCGAGAGATGACTGGGTGGCACCCAGGTCGCCTAGCAACCGGAAAGCGTTATCTGAGGGTTTTGACAGCTCCGCGCAGGCGGAAGGGGAGGCTCCGCCCCCGCCTCGCCCCGCCCCTCGCTCGAGCCGGTAGGCAGCCCCGCCCCGCGCTGGGGGGCGGACCGAAACTTCTTATTGGTCGACCCTCCGGAAGCTACTGGATTCGGAATCTCGCCCCAGGTCTTGCTGCCGAGGGCTGCGTCTGGGTGCGCGGTGTGTGGCGGCAGCGCGTGGTGAGGCGCTGAGTGTGGCGGGTCGCGCGCCGCTCCGGCTCAGCCAGGAAGCCCCCGCCGCCGCTGAGCCTGTTTTCTTTCTCTGTCGAATCGGAGCACGCCCCGCACGGGACACCCCAGGCCCTACTGCGCAGCCCGCCTTACCGGCCTGGGGACGGGTATCGCCTATTGGGACGCCACAGAGCGGACTCGGGGATCCCCACCGCCGCAGGCCCCGGTGCGTGACTGATCCTCCGGCTCCCAGAGCCCCCTGCCCAGGCCGGGATGTTTGTCCTCGTGGAGATGGTGGACACCGTGCGGATCCCCCCGTGGCAGTTTGAGAGGAAGCTCAACGATTCCATCGCCGAAGAATTGAACAAAAAGTTGGCCAACAAGGTACTGGGTCCGCGGGGTCGCAGGCAGGCCTTTAGCACGGGAAGGGCCAACACTGCGTACCCCGCTCGCTGCCGGCCTGGCCATGCCAAGTCTTGGCGTTGGGCAAGGATCTTAACGTCTCAGAACTCGGCTTCTTCACCTGCGAGTGGGGTGAACTCATCCTTTACCCCACTAGGATGTTGGAGAGAATCAAAAATTGAATTTGAAAAAGGTTCTTGTTACTGGGAAATACTAGCGTCCCCACTTCCAAATTATTGATAATTTGCAATCTAAATCAAGTCATTTACCTCCTCTGGGCCTCGGTTTCCATTTGTAAAATGGAAATAATCATTGTTGTCCAACCGTGTATCTGTGAAGATGGGTGGTAGTTCAGCTGTCAGGAGGTTTAGCCATTCATTCCTTCAAAAGAAATGTTTGTGCACCTTTTACGTGCCAGGCCAGCATGCCTTAGTGCCAGTCAGAGCCCTTCCCTCTGTCTTTTCTGAAGCAGTTATTCTGTGCCACATCACTCTTTCCTTCTTAGCACTCACCACAGTCTTTCCTTGCTTGTTTACTTGGTTACTGTTTTTCTCTTTTCCTCTGCATGAAGGCAGTGACCTTTTTCTTCTCCACAGGTAACCCCCATAGAGTCTGGCACAGAGCTGATGTTCCATAATTGTTTGTTGAAAGAATAAAACAGACACGCTTCTGCTCTGTAGTGTGGTGGGGACAGCAGATATGAACAAGAGACTCCCACAGTTGAGTGTGTGATGACAAATTTAGGTAACTATTATCAGAACAGGTGTTCACAAGCCTGTGAAATGAGGGAACTTCGCCTACAATGAGGGAGACAAGACGCTTTGCTAGGGGGTGATATTTGAGCTGAGATCTGGTGGTGAGGAAGAACTCACATAGGGGATTCCGGGCAGAGTAGAGCTATGCAGGAAGCAGAAACAGTATGTGCAAAGGCCCTGAGGCAGGAAGGAATATCAAACCTGTCATAGCTTGGAGGAGGCTGGTGTGGCCAGGGCAGAGGGAGAGAGGGGAGGGCAGGCTGGAGAGTGGTGGGAGCCAGCCCATACGGGGCCTGCAGGACTTCACTGGAGTGATGGCCTTCATCTGTAGTAGGCTGAGAAGGAGCCCGCAGGAAGAAAACTGGCTGGCTGGAGACTGGAGGCAGGTCCCTTCCATAGAGGCTGAAGTCACAGAAGGTGGGGTGTACAGACCTGGGGAGTTGTTGTTGGCAAGAACTCACAGAGTCCTTAGTGGATGGGGTCTGGTTACTTTGTAAGGTACCTTGAGAAGGGGCCTCTAAGGGGACAAAGAGAGAAGATATGAAAAGTCCAAGAAGGGAATGTAGTCCTTTTGTGGCACAGGGCCTTCTGTGACCTATTCAGACAAGTATTTCTTTTTCTTTTTTTTGGTCGCTCCTCAAGTTTTGTCGGATCTTAGCTCCCCAACTACAGGTTGAACCCAGGTCTTCAGCAGTGAAAGTGCAGAGTCATAACCACTGGACTGCCAGGGAATTCCCAGACGGTCAAAGAACTGTTTGGCAGAACTCAAATTCTTTCTGCATTTGAATTACTGAGTCACTGGAGAGGAGACCTCGCAAAAGAGGTCCAAGGCCCAGGCAAGGGCGCCTGTCACCTTGTGCTTCCAAACCAGCCAGACTCTGGGCCTCACTGCAGTGAGGTCTGGCCAGGACTCACTTCTCTGAGCTTCTTGCTAATCTGTAAACAGTCCTGCAAGGTCTCTGGGATGTGATGATGCTGGTGTCAGATAAGCAGACACCAAGCGGCTAGTCCTTTGGAGCATCACGGGGTGGAAACGGGATGTGGACGTCCTTGGCCTGTTTTGCCCAGTCTCAGGGCCTCCTGTGTGTCACTCTGCCAGCCTCAGTCCCTGCGGCCATGTCTGAGTGTCTGATACTTTGTGAGCAGAACAGCAACTAGCTGTGGTTCTGACACTCTGAACTGTGAGCTCCAGGATGGACTTGGGACCTTGGAAAAGTGTAGTTTTAACCTGGGGTTCCCCACCCCAGTCCTTGCTAGTAATAGTAATGATCCTTGATTGGAGAGGGTTCCTTCTAGCAGGTGAGCCAGCTACTGAGCTAGGCACTTCACCTCTGTTCTCTTTGGATTTAACAAGCCCACAGCCTGGTATGTCCATTTTTGCAGATGGAGAAACCGAGGCTCAGAGAAGTGACCTCTCAGGCCACACAGGGGGTGGTGGAGCTGGTCTTGTGACTTGAATCTGTCTTGTCACCGAAGGCTTTGTTCTTTTTAGAGCTCATCTCCTACTGGAGTTCTTTACCTCAGGCAGTGCCCCAGTGCATTTAAAGTGGGGATACCTGCCCTGTGGAGATCGGGGGGCAGATCTCAGGAGAGACTGCTCAGGGAGCTGGGCCTCAGGGTCACTGGGCGTGTACATGGACGCACACAGGTCGTGTACAACGTGGGACTCTGCATCTGTCTGTTTGACATCACCAAGCTGGAGGACGCATACGTGTTCCCAGGGGATGGTGCGTCACACACGAAAGGTGGGTGCCCTCTCCTCCTGGGCTTCAGGTTTCTTGGGGCTCAGTTTTCGGTGGGGGGTCCTGGTCTGGGGTTGGGAGACGTGGGGTCTAGTCCTGACTGCTCTTCCGGGAATTTCCTGGGTGGTATGGGCAGAATCTTCCCATTTCTGTGCCTCAGTTTCCCGTCTATAAAAAAGGAGGTGGGGACTTCCCTGGTGGTCCAGTGGTTGAGACTCGGTGCTTCCACTGCAGGGGGCACAGGTTCAATCCCTGGTCGGGAAACTAAGATCCCACATGCAGTGCAGCATGACCAATAAAAAAGGGGAGGTGGATGAGGTGATTCTCGAGGCCTCTCCATCAAGGCTGCTCCAGCTCTGAGACTGTGGCTGTCTGTGCACGTGTCCCCAGGGGTCCTGTGTGCTGGTTGAGCCCTGCCCTGCCTGGCTGTCAGTGTGCTCCAGTAGGGGACAGACAGTGGAGTCGGCATTGCTGATAAAAGTGGGGAGAGTGAGGAGGGGCACAGGAGGCTGGTTGGGGCTGGGAGACCTTGAGGGACTCCAGGGCATAATGGTTAAACACGTGGCCTCTGGCTTCAAATACCAGCTCTGCTGCTTATTTGCTGTATGTCATAAGCGGAATATGCAGCCTCTGTTTCCTCTTCAGTAAAAGGCAGTTAACAGTAGACTAAGTTACAGGACTGTTGAGGGTTACAGAGTTAATACACACGAAGCTCTGAGGACGGGACGTTGGCTCATAGCGAGTCCTGACAGCTCGTTGATGTGAATTGTTCCTCTGATTCTGTCGGTCCGCTCGGCAGTGGGCTTCTGGGCTGGCTTGACCAGGGCTGGCTGGTGTAGGGTGGTCTCATGTGTCTGGTGGTTGGCACGCTGGTTGGGTGGGGGGCCTCAGCTGGGCTTCTCATCTCTGCCCCACGTGGTCTCTTCTTTCAGGAGGCGGACTGGGCACTAAAGCACCTCTGGGCCGAGCCTCTGCTCGGATCCCATTGGCCAGAGCAGGTCACGTGGCCAAGGCCAGCGTCGAGGGCTAGAGAAGGACTCCCCGATGGGAGGAGCTGCAGTCACTTTGCAAGGGGATGTGCGCCCCAAGGGAGGAGGGCTCTCAGGGGGGAAGTGGGGTGTTGGTCTCTCTCCTGCGGGGACAAACCAAGTCAGAAGCAGAGGGCCAGGTGAGATGGTTGGGGGCTAGTCAGGGTGTAGACATGCCGTTCGCCATCAGCTGGGCACTCGCCCGTCCGCCCCAGACCCTGAGTCAGAATCTCTGGGGAGGGCCCCGCAGTGATTCCCACCCTGCCCTGACCCCCACTGGGGCATCAGCCTCGGCACAGGGATGTCCGAGCATTCCAGAATGTGCCTCGAGGCTGCCTGGTGTGTGTGTCGAGGAATCCGGAGACTTAATTCATTCATGAGGATGCCATGGAGCTCTGAGTTGTGTGTGGACTGGGACGGTCTCGGGAGCAGAAAGGTTGGACAGTGATGTGGAGACAAGGCCATGCGGGCCCTGTTTACAGAGAGGGACGCTGTCCAGCTGAGCCCAGTCTCTGCCCGGGAACAGGGGCCTTGCTGTCCAGGAGACAAGTGGTATGGGAGCCAGAACTTCAAGAAAGGCTGGAGATAAATTTAAATATGCGGAGATTCCGTCCATTTATTGGGTTGTTTCTGCTGCTTGGCGTCATTGCTGGTTTTCTGACCGACCCTCTGTGCCTGGGTCCCTGGTGTTCCTGGGAACAGGTGCAGGGGTAGAGTCCACGTGGACCCGGGGTTGAATTCTGACTCTGACCCCGGGCAGGTGACTATCTGGCTCAGCCTCACTTTGCTCATCTGTAAAATGGGATAACACGTGTGGCAGTCAGGCTCCTTGGGGCCCATGGAGCATTGTGCAGGGCGAATTGTTGATCTGTGGTGGGGTCAGTGGCCAGGCTTCGAGGCTGACCCTGAGCCCGGGTCCCCTTCCCCCACTGCCTCCCCGGGGCTGTGGCCGAGGGTGTGCTTAGGGGTGCTCAGCACTGGGTCTCTGCATTTGCTTAGGGGGTTATTCATTCGCCAGTTGCTCTGGCTGAGTTAGGGCCCCACTCAGGGCTCCGGAGCAGCCTGTCTTTGTGCCTACCATTTGCTTTGTTCCTTTCCCTTTTATTTATTTATTTTTTTAAGCTGTGATAGAACATAAAATTTACCATGTTTAGAGTATAGTTCTGTGACATTCATATGTTTACATTGTTGTCTGACCATCACCACCATCCATCTCTAGCACTTCATTGTGTTCCAACACTAGATCTCTGTCTCCACTAAACACCAATTCCCCCCTCCCCTCTCCCTACCCACCCCTTAACCCTACCCCCCCAACCACCATTCTGCTTTCTGTCTCTGTGAATTTGGCTCCTCCAGGCACCTCTTGAGTGAAATCAGGTATTTGTCCATTGTAGACACTCACTACGTTCTAAGGCAACCTTGCTTATCCTCAGCCTACTACTAAGAACAGGTCTTTCTCTTCTTACTGGTTCTTCAGACCCATCCTTTTTGACTTTTTAGGCTTCCCACCTCAGGCTGAACATCCCTCAAACTTCAGGGGCGGCTCTTGGGAGCACAGTACTACCCCAGCTGGCCCTGTGGCCTCAGCTGGTCTGTGGCCTCCTTTTGGTTTTTTAAGTGAGATATAATTCACATACCATGAAATTCACCCTTTTAAGGCCTACAATTCAGGGGCTTTCAGCATTGTATATTCACAGAGCTGTGTGATATTGTCACCATTGTCTTAACTCTAGAATATTTTCGTCACCCCCAAAAGAAATACTACACCCATTAACCATCACTCCCCACCCTCCACCAGCCCCTCACAACCATTCATCAACTTTCTGTCTCTGAGTTTGCCTCTTCTGGACATTTCCTGTGAATAGGATCCTACAGTACTGGCCTTTTGTGGATGGCTTATTTCCTGTAGCATAATATCCTCAAGGTTCATCCATGTGGTTCCCTGTGTTAGTCCTTTATTCCTTCCTGAGACTGAACAGTCTTCCATTGCATGGCTGTATCACACTGTGTTCATCCATCCATCCGTCCACGGGCACCTGGGTTGCTCACCATGTGCTTTGGTTGTGGTTGTTCCAGACTCGAGCTCCCTGGGCGCAGAATCACGTGTCATCCTGCCCCAGCGAGCCCAGTGCCCAAGCCCAGCCTGGCATGGCCCTGGCAGAGGCTCCGTGGGGATTTATTAAACTGAGCTGATGGAACTGGGTCGCACAGGCAGAGTGATTTTTCCGTTGTGTGCGTTAGGGACACCGGCCCTCAGCTGTTTGCTCCAAGGTCAGCGTGCAGCTCTCCCATCTCGACGAAGGCCCAGACAGCTGTGCTTGTCCCCTCGCCGGGAGGGACGCGCACCAGCTACCCGCTGTCCTTCCCCCACGCCCTCCTGCCTGGTGGAGTCACGGGGAAGCAGCCTGTGGGGAGCTGGGGTGGGGGGCAGGTGGATCCTGCTGTCCTTGGGGTGAGCCGGCAGACCAGGCAGCTGAGGGCGCTGAAAGCAGAAGCCTGTGTTTGGGGATTAAACGGGGGAGGCAGATTCAACCCCGTGGCTCTGGGTGGTGGTTCAGAAAGACTTGGAGTCTTCCTCTGGCAGAACAGCTGTGTGGCTGTGGGCAGGTTACTTGACCTCTTGGAGCCTCTTGCTTCCAGTGGGGAAGCATGACATGACACGGATGGATTGAGATGGGCCCTGGGTGGCTAGGCAGGGGCAGCCTCATGGTTATTCTCTAGCCCTGGCAGAGTTCAGGCCCTAGACACCGTATGCCTTTGGGGCTCAGTGGGCACCCCCTTTGAGGCGCTCTGCAAGGGGCAGCAGTGATCGAGGGACGCCTTCTGCCAGGCCGTGGAGTCAGTCTGTGATGTGGGCACAGAGCTTACCTGATACTTTCCTTGGGCTCATGTAAGTAGGGACCACCTAGGGCAGAACCTGAGAACCCACAGAGGCATTGTTGCTGGTTTATTGGCTCCCCCCAACCTCCCCACCCCCAAAAAATTTCAGGGCATTTTTAGCATCCTGTTCAGGTCAGAGCTGCGCCTGGGGCAAACTTTGCCGGTCAGCGGAAGATGGGGAACTTGTTTCCAAAGACCTGGTTCTCTCTGCCCGTTGCTTCTGCCCTTGTTAGAATTTCAAGGAGAGAGCCCGGAGGAAGGTTGAGATTGACTTTGGCATCATTGATGGCCAGGATCTGGGCTCAGGTGTGACTGATGGATTGGGAGCGGGCCTGTGTTTCAGGGCCAGTGCTGCTGGCCTCTTGTGGGGGCCAAGCAGTGGCCTTGCAGGAGATGGGATGAGGGTCCCTCCTGCTCAGCTCTCAAGCCTAGGCCCACAGGGAGGCCTGGCATGGACTGCTGGGTGGACTCTTGGTACCACCCTGGGGGTCAGCGTGCCAGTGAGTGAGGGTGGACACTGGCATTCATAGGCCACCCCCAGTTGGAGCAGCCCTTGCTCACGGCCTGCTCATCACTGCCGTGCCATCTCCATTTCCAGTTCACTTTCGCTACGTGGTGTTCCATCCATTCCTGGACGAGATTCTGATTGGAAAGATCAAAGGCTGCAGCCCGGAGGGAGTGCACGGTAACGTCGGCCTATGTCCTCATGCAAGACCTGGGAGCACGCGGGGGGCAAGTGGCCGGGCCCCTGAGCTTCTCCAGGTGGTCAGGGGAGCGGCCACCCAGACGAGCAGAACCTGCCTGAGGGGGCGCTCGGCTGTCCGTCCTCTAACTGCAGACCCCAGCTAGCTGGGAGCCTTGGCCAGGAGGCTGAGATGCCCTGAGGGAAGCCCCGGAGCTGGCGGAGGTGACCGGGCCGCCCGCACTCACTGGCCCTGGTAGTGCGGGGTCCACCTCGGGTTTCGGTGGCTGCTCAGGCTGGGCAGAGTCGTGGGGCTCCATGGTGGAGGAGGGGTCCCCGGGCAGCAGACTCAGGGCTGGCCTGTCTACTCACGTTGTCACCTGCCTGCCTTCCAGTCTCCCTAGGGTTCTTCGACGACATTCTCATCCCTCCGGAGTCGCTGCAGCAGCCGGCCAAGTTGTATCCTCCCAGGGTGAGAGCTCGCGCCCCTCATGGAAGGTCTGTGGGTCCTGTGACCTGATGCTGCTGGCCTCTGTCCACCCCTCCAGCCTGCATCTCATTTGCCCCCGAAGCACAGCGCTGCCTGTGCGTCCCACACGGGCTGCAGGGCCTCCCTGCCTGCGCCTGCATCGGGGCTGCCAGGCCTGGTTCCAGCTCACCTTGCTGAGGTCACCTCCCTCTGAGGCCCCTGACCGGCCCGCCGCCCCTCCTCGGCTCACGTCTGAGGGCTTGGCGCTGCGTGTCCAGGGCTGGTTGAGGAGTATCTTTGCTGGCTCCCCCATTGTCCCTGTCCCGGCCCGCGCCCTGCTGCAGTGGGGTGGTTGTTTCTGTGGGTGCGCCCCAAGACTGCTCACCAGGAGAGACCCCATCTTGTCCCAGCTGTGCCCAAAGTGCCCAGCAGGGGACCTGGCACCAAGGAGAGGCAGGACCCACCTGCGGGGCCGCCACTGGAGGGCAGTGTGTCCCTTCAGTGTGGGATCTGCTGAGGGCAGGGGCCCCGGTTGTGTGTGTGTACGTGTGTGCATGCGTGGGGTGTGTGCGTACGTATGCACAGGGCCTGGGGCAGGGTCTGTGTGTGACTCTGGAACTTGTCAGAAAACCTGCCACGTCCCATTGGAAACTGGGAGCGTTCCTGGGCTGCCTGCTCGCAGAGCACCGTGAGGCGTGCAGAGGCATGTGGGATGGCACCGTGCAGAGCACACGGCCAGCTTCGGCTGGTGCTCGTGTCGACTGTGGGGCCTGTGGAGGGCGCACTCCACGCATGCTGTTTCGTTACCTCCCCGCTGCAGCCCTGGAGGGCAGGCCTCCCTAACCGCCCCTGGTATCCCTACGGGGACCCTGAGGCAGAGAGGTTGGGCCTGGCCCCGGGTGGGTGCTGGGCTGAGGTTTGAGCATGGCAGCCGGCCTCTGAGGGCACAGGTGGAGTCCGAGCCCGGGCACCGAGGGGCCGTGGTCATTCCCGGGTGGAGGTGCAGCTTGCACCCTGCTCTGAGCTCCTCCTGCTCTGACGTCCGTGTTCCCAGCCTGGGTCCTGGCTCCATGGGCTCCGGGCCAGCCCGACCTTGCCTCTTGTATGTGGGGCTGAGCCCTCTCTTCTGTGACTTCCCGGGCAAAACATTTCAGCCTGCAGTGGGCTCTTCCTGGGGGTGGGCACTATGGGAGGAACCCCTCAAACTCAGGGCTTCCCCGCTGGCCTGGTTGTTGCCTTGACCATGTGCCCCGCCCAGCGACGAGGCAGAGCAGGTGTGGGTGTGGGAGTACGAGACGGAGGAGGGCGCCCACGACCTGTACATGGACATTGGCGAGGAGGTCCGCTTCCGGGTGGTGGACGAGAGCTTCGTGGACACGTCCCCCACGGGACCCAGCTCAGCTGAGGCTGCCTCTTCCAGCGAGGAGCTGCCCAAGAAGGAGGCTCCATACACGCTCATGGTGAGCTGTCCTGGTGAGACCCGGGGGTGGGAGGACCCAGCAGGTGGGGGTGCAGTCCCTGCTGTGGTGTCTTGGGTGGACCCTTCTTGGGGAGCCCAGTTTCTGCGGGGCAGGGCAGCAGTGGTCCTTGCGGCGGTGTCATAAAGCTGCCACGCTGTTGGAGAGGGCAGGTGAGTCAGGCCCCTGCTCATGAGAGGACAGCACCAGCTGGACAAGGCTGCTGATGAGCTGGCGGCGTGAGGAAGAAACCGGGGGTTGGGGAGCTGGTGGGGAGGGACAGGACCCTCAAGGCTGCTCCCACTACAAACCCAAGTGGCCTGAGGGCCTGGGGAAGCTGACCCACCAGATCTGACTTGGGTCCCTTGTCTTTTACCCTTATGAAGCCAGACGGTGACACATGACCCAAGTGGGATTCCAGGGCCTGCAGGTAGGGTTTTCTAGTGTAACGTGGGGCCCAAGCTGCTCACTTTCAGGGTAACTGTCTTTATCAGGAAGAGGAGTGGTGGTCCCCTCTGCATGATTCGGAGGCTGGGGCTCAAGGTCACTAGGCTTTTCTGGCAAGACTAGACCACAGGCGGCTCAGGAGGGCAGGCCTAGGATTGGCACGGGGGTGCCCTTGTGGGCAGGCATACAGGTGAGGGGCCAGGGGCCATGTCCTCGGTAAACCAGCACTCTTCTTACAGGCCCCGGGAGAGGCTGGGGCGAGAGGAGAGTCCACCTCCCCTCTGGGGTGCTGGTGCAGCTCCTGGGTGTTCCCAGAGCCTCCTGGCTGGCTATGCCCCACCCTCCTTGGGGCTGCACCTACAAGAGGGGGCCCCCTTTGCCTCCTGTCCGAGTTGGCTCCAGGCTAAACGTATGAAGCATGCCAGTTCTCTCTCCACCCCTGGCAGGGATCCATCAGTGAGCCAGGCCTGGGCCTCCTCTCCTGGTGGACGAGCAGCTAGCCCTGCGCTGTGAGCACGGACCCTGCCCGGCCCTTGGGAAGGAGGTGGAGCTGGCCCTGAAGACCACCGCCACTGGTTCAGACGAGCGGCCTGCACCCTGCCAGGATGTCCCCTCCCCTGCCTCTCCCAGAGCTCCCCGAGTGCCACAGTCCCCACGGACTTCTGCCCGTTGGTGACAGCAAAGACATTTAATAAATGAAGACAGCATCACCCGGGAGAGCCGCCCTTGTCTCAGTGATCTACAGTCACCAAGTTGCCACAGCCGGGACAGCACATCCTTCCTGACCTCAGATCACATCTAGAGATGACCCAGAGGTGGACTTCGGGGTGAAAGGTCCCGGCTGCCTCAGGGCAGCTCTGGGCCAGCTGATCCTGGCAGCTCCACAAGTAGCCCATAGAGCAGGAGGCTGGTCCGGGACAGCTGCTGGGTGCTCGTCACCTGACCTTCACGGGAAAACCTTCCTTCCCACCAGAGTGTGGAAGGTGGGGCCTGGACTCGGCCAAGCAGCTCCATCAAGTGGTGGCGCTGGGCTTTCGTGAGCCGGGGGTGAGGGCTGGTGACCCGCTGTTGTCGTTGACCTCCCCCACCCCCAGCAGTACAGCAGGGAGCCTTGGGCCAGCTGTCACTTTGCTACCTCGGCCACACCGTGAACATGCTGTGCGTCTGTCTGCTTGTGATTTGAGATCCTGGAGGCGGAAAAACGCCTCATCGTTTACTCAACAGAATGGCTTTGCCAGATTCCTCCTGCCCCTCCACTCATTTCTGCCAGAAACCTCTCTTGGGACCAGGACATGGTTTTATATCCCCCACCGGACGCCATGTTTCCGTCAGGCAAGTCTTGTCCTGATGAAGGGGTCGCTGTGGAGCCTGCCTCCCGCGCCAGCCTTTCGGCTCACATGGACACGGGTCTGGAGCTATGGGTGGTGCCAGTGGACGGCGTTCCAGGGAGAGGAGCCGTGCCTGCTGCCGCCCTGTGCCAGGGGATGGGGGCAGGGCACATGTGGACTAGCTGTGACCTTGGATGTGGTGGCCGGTCTGTACGACAGACACACAAACACTGCGTGTCTGAAGGGCAGCTCAAAGCCCAGGGGAAGGGGGAGGCTCCGTATTAGGCCCAACCCCCCAGGCCCATCAGGGAAGCTACTGGAATGTGGGGATGGGGAGGGGAGGCTGCCCCGCAGGCAGTGGGACTGAAAAACAAACGCTGTGGCGTGGCTCTCGGGGGCCCCCACTGACTCTGGCTGTGAAGGACCCCCTCTGCCCCTTGCTGGAGCTGGTAACAGCAGACACCACCACTCACACAGCCAGTCACTGCATGTGAATTCTTATTTTCCTTGTAAGAGCAAAAGGACTTTTTGAAATCCTTTAGCCACCAGTGAAATGAATGGGCAGGAGAAAAACTTTAGATGGGCGTCTGTCATCAAAAATAAATACAGTTGCATGAAGCTGCTCAAGATCTGAATCGGACTAAAAACAGGAAGACAGGGCTGACACGCTGTTAAGAGCCTCCCCCACCCCCGGCCATGGGGCACTCCCTGGGCCGAGGAGAGGAGGGCAGGAGGCCCGGCCGCCGCATCTCGGAGCAGAGCCACGGCTGGATCCGATCGGATCTGGTTCTGGTGACGTGGAACCGCCCTTGTGACGCCAGAGGCGGGTCCGAGGAGCGGGTCGGCGGGCAGTGGCGGCCGAGCAGGACCTCACTTCTGCAGCTCCTTCATCCTGTTGAGCGCGCTGCCGGCACGGAACCACTCGATCTGGGTCTCGTTGAAGGTGTGGTTCAGGAGGATGGTCTCCTGGGTCCCGTTGGGGTGCTTAATGATGCACGTCAGCGGCTGTGAGGAGGGACACGTGTGGGCGGACGGCCCCTGGGAACACGGCCCTCGGTTTTGCCTAGAGGCTCAGGAGGGTGGACCACTGCTCCAGGCCCTGGGGCCAGCAAGGTGAACCAGGTCCTAGGCCAGGTCTGGGCCTTGGTGGCTGGCCATGGGAAGACCCGGAGACCCTGACTCTTGGGACCACAGGGCCCTGCCGGGTGTGGGCTCTGGCTGCCGATTGCCAGGCCTGGGCCAGTGACTGGATGGAATGGAGGCCTGAGCCGGCTTTACCTTCATCTCTGGGAGGGCACTTCCTTCCCTCTTGGGGGTTACCTGGAGAATTCAGGGGCCCTTCTAGCTGGAACAACGGCTCATAGAAGGAAGGCCAGGTGTAGGAAGGCAACCCTCTCCTCCCCTCTCAGGAGGGCCCTGGGAGAAATGGGCTTGGCTGGCCCACCCTCCTTCCCTGCCCCCTGACCTTGCCAGGGGCAAAGTCCTTCAGGCCCTGGATGGTCAGCTTGTCCACAGGGTGAATCTTGTTGTAGTCAGCTGGGTCAGCGAAGGTAAGGGGCAGCAGGCCCTGCTTCTTCAGGTTGGTTTCTAGAAGGCAGAGGGCAGCAGTCCATAGTGGGCAGGTCCCGTCCCACCCTTCTCTGTGAGGAACCTCACCAGCCAAGTCCAGTTAGGGCTCTGGGAGGGTCACGTGGTCCTGCCACATGGGGACAAACCTGGGTCACAGACCACAAGGACTAGCTTGGCTGCTCTCCCAGTGATGTGGGGCCCTAGGTGAGTGTGCTTGCGTGCCTGTGTTTCCCTGAGGCCTCTGACAATCAGAGACGGTCCTCTGACCACATGCCCTGGATCTCAACTGCTCCAAGTGTGGAAGCGAAACCAGTATATGCCGGGGATGGGGAGCTGTGGTGTCAGAACCAACAAATCTGAAGGGGCCGAGGCTGGAGGCCGGGGGGACGTGGGGTCTCCATGGACACACCCTGGAGACCAGCCACGTGGCTCTGGCCCTGCCAGGCACTGCGGGCCGGGTGACCCTGGGTTGCCAGTGAGGGGAGGTGGGTGGGGCTGGGACTGGGCTCCTGCTCACCATGGATCCTGGCGAAGCTCTTGGTGATGATGGCCCGGCCCCCGAGGTGGCGAGGCTCTAGGGCCGCGTGCTCCCGGCTCGAACCCTCACCATAGTTTTCATCTCCAATCACCACCCACCGGATGCCGTGTTTCTGGCAGGGATGAGTAAGGAGTGAGTTTATGAGGAAGAGGCGGCACTGGCCCACCTCCTGCTCAGCCCTCAGGCCTCCTAAGGCTCACAGGTCAAGGGAACAGAGCCCCCCGCCTCACCTGCACCCCAAGGACAGGTGAAATTAGAGCTGAATCCAGCCCCAGCCAGGCCCTCAGAAGACAGGATGAGACAGGGCCTGGCTGTCCGCAGGGCCTGGAAGGTGTGACCCTCCTGTGACTCAGAGCTCAGGGCAGTGGGGGTGACAGACACGGGGCTGCCTCGGTGGCGCTGGGACACCATTCCCCTGCAAAGCTGCAAGTGTGGACCCCCCCTTTCCCTGAGTGGAGTGTGCGACCTGGCCATCAGGAAGCTCCAGAGAACCCCATCCCTACCCCCCAGCTCGGGCCCACCTTGTAGTAGCGGGCGGTGTCAGGGACAGGACCGAACTCCTGGGTGACGGCGTTGCGCACGGAGTTGGCCTTGCCGTTTTCCACGTTGATGGCGCCAATGAGCAGGTTGTTGGAGATGTTGTCCAGGTGCCCACGGAACTTAAGCCAGGGACCGGCAGCCGAGATGTGGTCGGTGGTACACTTCCCTTTGACCTTGGGTGGATGAGCAGAGAACAGAGGTCAGGTGTGGGCTCTAAGTGGTGGATGGACAGGCCCTCTGGACGCAGACAGTAGGGACAGGAGAAGCGGGTCAGGCTCTGACACGGGTTGCAGCCTTGGTGTCATCAACGCTCTGGCCAAGAGGGTTCAGGCAAGGCTGTCCCCCGTCCCTCAAGGGGGCAGAGCCAGGCATGGAGGACCCATGTGTTTGCTCACTCGCTCTTCAGCCCGAGGCCCCCAGGTAGGAGATGCCCAGGTTGGAAGACCAGCTGCAGATTCATGCCAGAGACAGACGAGCTCTGGGACGTGTCTGGGTTCTGGCTGGCGATGATCATTTCGTCTACCATGTGGGCTTTTAACGGTGGTTGTGTCACTGCCTGCAGACGCCGCAGTAAACAGCTTAGTGCCTGTGTGGCGTGGCTCCAAGGCCTCTGGCCGCTCTGCTCAGCTCCCAAACACACACCCTATCCCTGATGCTCAACCATGGGAAATCGACGGCAACCAGGAATCGACGGCACCAGAGCATGTCTGGTCAAGCCCAGCACATGGAGACCTGCTGTGAGGGTCACAGTTGCTCATCTGCCCTCCTAACACTGTGTCCGCCCACACCCCCAGAGGACCCTGAGCAGGTGGCCTGGCACAGAGCAGTAGAAAGGGGGACACAGATCCCCTCACTCCTCTGCAGCCAAACCTCCCTTCCTGCCCTCGCCTGACTCTTGACCGTGTCCTCCACCGGGGCCCATGGGGGCCTGCGTGGTTCCCCGGGCCCTCCTGCCCATTAGGGCAGGGTGCGCTGGCAGCAGGGCTGTTCGCGCGTCCCCGAGTCGCTGACCTTGATGAGGATCTGCAGGTCCTCCAGGTCTCGGCCGTCCCACTTGTCGAAAGGCTCCAGGAGCTGCAGGCGCTGGCTGGTGGGACTCACATCCACCTGCTGCCCGCTGCTGTCCTTGGGGGGGTGCTGGTAGGTGTCCTGTCCGGGGTCAAACTCCTGCAGCAGGCGACAGGGCACGTTGGGTGCCAAGCCCTCAGACCCACGTGGACGGGGTCTCACGGCAGGCAAGCTCCCCGGGCGCCAAGCTCTCCCTCCCGGCAAGCACCCTTCCTGGGCCGGAAGCATCTCAGCAGCCCTGAGCCCCGGGCCGAGGTGGGCCCGCAGGACGGGTGGCAGAGGCTGCGCCTGCTCACCGCTCGGGGAAGCTCATCGGCGTCTGGAGCCTCCAGCTTGAACTTCTTGCCGTCCTTGCCCGTCAGGAAGTCAGTCTCTGGGTTGAACTTGAGGGTGCCAGCAATGGCCAGGGCTGTGACAATCTGGAATGGAGGCGGCCAGTCTGTCGTGCGCACCAAACCCCTCCCATCCCTTCACCTCAGCAGAAAACTAGGCAGAAACTGAGGTGGAGCCAGGAAATTTCCAGATTCTCCACGACCGCTCTTCCCCTCGCAGGCGGGAGCTATGGCAATGTCTCTGGGACCAGGGCCTGCAGAGGACTCATGCACCCACCTCTACCGCCCCCTGGGGCCTGGACCTCAGTGCCTCCTTGGGCAGGGCCAGTGCTGGACCCCAAGAGGCCCTGGCACAGAAATGCTCCCGTGATGAGTGTGTTCTTAATGGGCACTGAAAACATGTAAGGGGCCAAAGTATTTCTAGAACGCTCCTTTAAAAAACCAAGTCATGGATTTCCCTGGTGGTTCAGTAGTTAAGAATCCCCCTGCCAAAGGAGGGGACACGGGTTTGATCCCTGGTCCGGGAAGATTCCATATGCCATGGGGCAGTTAAGTCTGTGCACCACAGTTTCTGAGCCCTTGCACCCTGGAGCCCGTGCTCTGCAGAAAGAGAAGTCACCGCAGTCAGAAACCCAACAAGCAACAAGAGTGGCCCCTGTTCGCTGCGACTAGAGAAAAGCCTGCGTACCGCCACCAAGACCCAGCGCAGGAAGAAAAGGGTCACAAGACTGTCCGCGCGCGGAAAACTGCTACGTGCCCAGAGCATGCAGCTCACTGCTCATCGTGACAGCACAGCCTCCCTCCTGGCTCGGGCAGCGCAAGCGCCTCCTGCGCTGTTCACGGGTCACCAACGGGACCCATGTGGCCGGGGAGGCAGGACTGCCCTCTGTCCCCGGTGGTGACCCTAACAAAGCCTCAGACTCCCGGGGCTGAGGGGAGCCAGGCAGGGCACACCCAGGGAACTCGATGCCTGGGGCCGGCAAGGCCTGTGGCTCTTGGTTTCTGCTCTGACAACCCCTGGCCCTGTGATGCCAACATTCCTTCAGCAGCCCTGCAGGGCCCCTACTCCCCTGACTGGCCAGGGCAGGGCCCCCAGAGGCTATCCTGGGTTAGGGCGGAGCCTCACCTCTGGGGACGTGACAAAGGCGTGGGTCTCGGGGTTTGCGTCGTTGCGGCCTGTGAAGTTCCTGTTGTAGGAGGTGACGATGGTGTTCTTCTCCCCCTTCTTGATGTCCTTCCTGCCAGGTCGGAGGGGACACAGTTAGGGACATCTGGCCTTGTCACCTGGCCTGACCTGCCAAGCTCATGGCAGAGAAGGGGGAAATGGAAAAAGACCTGGAAATGGTCACCTCCCCCCAGGGCTCAACTCACACCCACAGAGCAGGAAGGAACCTCAGGCATCACTGAGGTTCGTTAGAAGCCACACGTAAGACAAGAGGCCAGACCAAGGATCCCTGACCGGGGCCATGGCGTCCTTTCAGGAGGGTCCATCTGAGCCCCCCGCTGTGTGCGTTCGGATGAGGCCTCCCGAGCTCCTTCCCGCTCCCCCCCACCCCCCCGGCTTCGGCCAGGCGGCCACTCAGCACTGCGGGGACTCCTCCTCTTCACCTCCAGCCCAACTTTCTAGTCCTGCCCAGAAAAGTCTTCTAATCTCCTGCCGTCCTGGCAGCCCCACCCTAAGGGCATCTCCCCTCAACATCTGAGGCTCCGTACCCCAGGACACAAGGGGCCGTCCTATAAAACTGTGCTTCTTTGGCAGAAAACAACAAAATTCTGTACAGCAATTATCCTTTGATTTTAAAAAAAATAATTAAAAAAATACATTAAAAAAAAAAAACCCTGTGCTTCTCACCTGTCCCACTGGCCAATGCAGGGGCCGCAGGCATTGGCCAGGACGATGCCACCCACATCCCTCAGGATCTGTGCCTGTAGCGGGGAGAGGGGACGGGGAGGGGTCAGGGGCAGGCTGGCGGGAACCCCGGGGCACAGGCCCCTGCGTACAAGGCTGTGGCAGCCACGTTCCTCATCAGAGGGATGGTGGGGGAGCAGGGGCGTGGCGTGCGGGCACTCACATAACCATCCCGCTCAATGGTGGCGCGGATCTGCTCCGAGCCTGGTGTGATGGTGAACTGGGACTTGCACTTGAGTCCATGAGCCAGCGCCTGCTTGGCCACAGCTGCGGAGCGGCCCATGTCTTCATAGCTGGAGTTGGTACAGCTGCCAATCAGACCTGGTGCATGGTGGGTTGGGGGACGGACCATCAGGAGGAGAGTGACCAGAGCTCTCCGCCTGACCGCAAACGATCCACACCCGGTCAAGGGTTCACCAACTCTGCTCCCAACAGAGAGAAGTTGGAAGCAACCTACCTCACTGTCTGTCCTCTCAGCCCAGACACTTAAGAGAAACTGTGGCCACCGAGCACGATGCTGAACACACTGGCAGCGTATAACCCACAGTCTTAGAGTGAACAGTCTGTATGTGGACACACGCTGGAGGGCCCCCACTAGAATACTGACAGGGACCGCTGCTGGGGAAGGACTTAGAGGCCCACTTTATTTTATATTTTGTAGCATTCTCTGGCTTTCTACTTGGTTTTATAATCAGGAAGAAAAGAATTCTTTTAAAGAAGTCTATCATAGTTATTCAAAAAGCCAATAAAAACCGAATGACATCACACTGTCTATAGAGAGAGAGAGTCTGTCTTACCAGTTCAGTGATTTATGTTCTAATTATTAAGCTACCAAAGATTTCTTTTTATTTACTTCAACTAACAAGGCTGCACCCACTGCACAGCACTTCATGCTAGGCACCGTCGGAAGCTCTCATCACCCCTCAACACGTCCCTCCTCCTGGCAATTTCAACTGTATCACCCCCATTTCAGAGCTGGGGAACCGAGGCACAGGGGGTGAAGTAATGAGCTCACGGTCACCAAGCTACGAAGTGGCAGAGTCAGAGTCACTCGCAGGCCACCCGGGTTCACGTGCTTCACAGAACCATGACAACAGTGATACCAACATGCCAGTGTTCGTGTGTAAAGCGTGTAAGTAAAACCAGGCACGGTAGCTGGTAAGAGGAAATGTTTGCAAAACAGAAAATTTACACACAGCAGCGTGGGCGTATACAAAGAGCTGGTTCTGGCTGAAGGTGGAGGTTAGGGCTGTTTTAAAATTCTTGTTTTGTCAATAGTCTCTACACTGATACATATTTCTTTTATACCAAGAAAAAATTATTTCTTTAAAAAGCCGTGGAGGGAAAAAAACTATTTTAGAAAGTGCCTGAACCATTCAGGAAAGGCCCCACGGTAAGCACGGGCAATGGTCCACAGCCCTGGGCGGACCTGCTGGTTCTGGGGCTGGGGGCGGGGGTACTCACCCACTCGGATGTCCAAGGGCCACCCCTCCTTCTCTGCCACACTGCCCACTTCTGCCACAGGGTGAGCCAGGTCGGGGGTGAAGGGCCCATTGATGTGCGGCTTCAGCTGAAGTGAAAGAAGTGGGGGCAGGGGTGAGGAGGAACTCAGCTTGGTGTGTGGACAGCTCTCTCCTTCAGAGGTGGCCTGGCTCCTGCTCACCCAGTCACAGTGGACCTGGGAGGCCAGCTCTCACTCTACAGCTCAAACCTCATCCCAAGAAGGGCCCGAGCAGCGGTCACTGTCCATGCACCCACTCCTGGAGCCCTCCAAACCCCAAGGGCATTATCTCCTGTCTGCAGATGGCAGAGCTGCCTGCCTTGCCCAAGGTCACAGGCTTGGAGACAGTAGAGGCATGGGATGAATCAAGGCTGCTGGTTCCCTCAGCCCGTTATCTCCCGTGAGGTGGTGCTTCTGGAATCTGGAGGCCAGACATTTTATACGTGATGCTACTTATCACCAACATGAAGCACTGAGTGAAGTGCCTGGCACCCAATTAGCCTGCAATGAATATCAGCAACAGTTATGACATGAATTAGCTCATTCAGTTCCCATGACTGCCTCAGGTTTTACACATGATGAAGTGAGGCCCATAGTGGCCTTAAGTAAGGTCACAGGCTTAAGTGGCAGAGTCAGGATTTGAACTTGTGCAGGCTGGCAGCAGGGCCTAAAGCCTCAGCTGCTCTGTCTGCTACTTTGGCTCCTCCAGCCCATCTTTCCTCTGGCCTTCCAAATACTACCCTGATCTACAGGTCTCAGGGTACTGGGGTCGGGCTTGGAATCTTGGACCCTGCCCTCTGAATTCTCACAAAAGTGCAAGCTCAAGGGTAAAATCTTGGCTTCTCTGAGAGCTGAGTTAGGCGCAAACTGAACGTTTCTGAATGACCAGCCAGAGAACCAAAAGATCAAAAGCGTTGCTGGGTGTGCAGCCAGGGGCCTGCCCAAGCCCCCCCGAGGCCCACAAGATGTCTCCAGATGGTGCCTGAACCACCCCACCCTCAGAAACCCCCTGGAACCAACTCCCGGCCTCACCTCACTGAGGTTAATCTCAATCAGCTGGTCATAATGGCAGCCAGAGTCAGGTACCAAGTGATCCTTGAATTCATCGGCAAGGTTGGCAATGTCTGAAATCAACAAGGGATGGAGACTGAAGCATGTAAGACAGAAACTGGTCACAAGACTCCATCCATTCATCCATCAGAACCAGTTACCCAGCACCGGCCACACACTCCGGGCCCCGGGCACTGACTGGGCAAACAAAGGAAGAAAAGAGCAGCACAGGACCCAGTGCCTGCCCTCGGGGATGCACAACCCGCGGAGGCGCCATCAGTGAGCCGGGGGTCACAGCACAACACGAGAGGCCCGGGAACACGGGGACACTGAGGCACGGACTTGGGGTTCAGTCAGGGAGAGGAGAAGCGCTGAACTTTAGAGAAGGTACTTGATAATTAAATCAAAGGAAGAGTCTTCCAGGTAGGATTCTATGTACAGAAAGCTCGGAAACAAAGTGACAAGCTCTCCCCAGGTCCCCCAGCCTCTGGCTCCACCAATCACCTCTCTTCAGAAGACCCAACAAGCTCTCCCCAGGCCCCATTTCCAACTCTGGGTTTCAAAGAAGCTAAGCTCAAACCTCAGGGAAGCTGTTGGGGAAGGCTGAGAAAATGGTTCTTGCACCAAATGTTTTTCCTCCTCCCCTGCTAGAGTAGGAATTACAAACAGAAGCAAATCCACGTCATTTCCAGAGCTTCCCATAGAGGGCGCCAGGGACCAGGCCAAGAAAAACCGAAGTCAGATGCCCTTTTGGGGGAAACTAAATCCCAAGGATGCCCTTTCAAGGGGAACTAAATCCCTGAGCCACAATGTTTCACGCTGAGAGGCCAGAGCCTCTGAGAAGCTGACGAGAGCTACAGAAGCCCACTCAGGAGCAGTCACAGACATAACCTCTCACAGACCCAGGGGCTTCTCAAAGCCGTGAGGTCGGTTCAGAGATGCGGGATTAGGAGCCCCAGCGGCTCACCTGCGCGGCCAGTCTTGCTCAGGTATTTCTTCATCCTGTGGTTGTAAGGGAACACTGAAGTGGTGGCCCCAATTTCTGCGCCCATGTTGCAGATGGTCGCCATGCCTGCAGAGAGAGAACCCACAGGGCTGGCTCAGCAGCTGGGCGAGGCCCCCACATCTGCTAAAGGTCACACACATCTTTGCACCAGGGAGCTGGCATCACTCCTTCCCTCGCTCTCACTGCCCTTGCGGTCCAGGGTTAAAAGGATGGCCAGGGAAAAAGAGGCCACGGGGCTGGAGCCGTGTCCCGGCTGTCAGGGTGGCCGCTGGATTTGGGGAGAACACAAGATTCTGGCCTTATGAGCCAAGTTCCAACTCCAGGCCTGGCTGGCCCGCTCGGCAAACTAGATGGCCACCATGTGATGAGAGCTGACCTGGCCAGACCGCCCAGCTGTTGCTGTGTCCATCTGCAGGTGAGGGAACCGACTCAGAGAGGTCCATGGTTGTGCCATAAAGCGAATGCCAGTGTGGCCTTCAGGACTTGGTCTGCCTGCCTAATGGGCAGGCCTGCATGCTTTCAGCCATACCACAGTGGAAATGTTCCTGGGCCTGGGGTTTTCCAGCTATAATACTGGAATGACATCTATGGCCTAGACCACAGAGCCGCCCACAGAACTGGAGAGGTTATAGACATGCTGACTGCAACCAGCACTCCAGCCCCACGGGGTTGCTCGGACACGGGTCTGTGCTTGCTGCCAACTTCCTAACTGAACATCCATCAGCAGTAAGAGCTACTTACAGGAGTGAGCCCTGCATCACTGGAGGGACACAAGGGCCAGCTGAACTGCAGCTCTGTGGGGGTGCTATGGAGCTGAGGCAGGCAGGGAAGGCTGGACTGAACCATCTCTAAGGCTCATTCCAACTCTACTTGGATTTCTGAGGTCCCAAGCATGGAGGCCAGATCACCAGGAGTGACGAGAAGGGAGGGGGCTGGCTCCCACCTGGTATTAGAGACTAACAGGTGATGGTCTCTAACCCAAAGGAAGAGAGTGAGGCTCTGACTCCAGGCAAGGGAGGGTGTGAGAATGGGGCTGCTCTGTGACTGAAGCCCTGCTCTGTCCCCGCCCACCACCTCCACCTTCTGTGGATTCTTCTGGATCACTCAAGGCAGCCCATGGCCACGGCCACGCTGGCTCAGCCCCTAACTCCATGTGGCCACAGGCAAGTGACCTGCCATCCTCGAGGGGACCCAACGTCCCATTAAATGAAGGGCCTGGACTAGACCACCTCCCCTCTACCTCTAAGAGTCCATCGCAAGTTCCCAAACTGACTGGCCAGAGTCTCATGGGCAGGCCAGCTGCTGCTTCTACAGCTCAACCACAGGCCCATCGGGCCGCAAAGGCTGGGAGCACGCCCCGCAGCCGCCGTCCTCACCGGTGCAGGAAATGGAGTCTACTCCAGGCCCGTGGTACTCCACGATGGCGCCCGTGCCACCTTTCACTGTGAGGATACCCGCCACCTTCAGGATCACATCTTTAGGTGAGGTCCAGCCGGAGAGGGAGCCTGTCAGCTTCACGCCAATCACCTGAATAGGTGGGGCCAGAAAGCAGGCACAGGCCCATGTGTCATGCGCCATGTTCCAACCAGTATCTCCTGCTGGAATTCCCACTCAGGCTTATTTATCCCTGCCTCCTTCCCAGAGAGAGCTGAACCTGACCTATGCTCTCAACTCCTGTGTGTCCCACATCTCCTCCTCGCCCCACCAACTACCCCTCTGCTGTCACCCCGACAAGAGCACCTCCCCACTTCTCACCTTGGGGCACTTCAGCTCCCAGGGGATCCCAGCCATGACGTCCACAGCATCAGCACCCCCGACTCCAATGCAGATGCCCCCCAGGCCACCCCCATTGGGGGTGTGGGAATCAGTGCCAATCAGAAGAACCCCAGGGTATGCATAGTTTTCCAGAATGATCTGAAAAAGAATCCAAGGTCTTAAAAGCCCTTAGCAAAGAAAGGAGCTTAGGGCTCCAATGGGGTCTGCAAGACTGCCTGCTGCCGACACTGGGCCACTGAGATAATCCTAGGCACGCCTCCTGCACGGGGACTTTCCAGTGTGGCCTAGATGAGCCAGAGACCTGGGAGACTGGTAGCTTGGGCTCAGTAACAGCTCTGACAGCTCCTGACTGTATGACTTGGGACTAGTAAGTGCCTCCCTGGACCTCAGTTTTCTCATCTGTTAGCACAGTATTAAGAATGGCTGCACCATCCCGACCCCAGGATGGTGGAGAGAACCAGATGGCCTGGGATACAAGAGTGTGTCCTGTGACAAGCCCGGGGACAATGCTGACTGCTGAAAGGTGCCTCCGATAATACTGCCTCATGTGGTGGATGTGTGGAGTGTGCTTATCTGGCTTCTCCAGAGAGCAGACAATCTTCCACAGCTGGCTCCAGCACAGGGAAGGAAGGAGCTGGCAGTGAGCATTTCCCCCCAAGATACCTGATGCAGCCACAGGGGCAGCAATCCCAGAGCAGCCCCGCCCACCACCGGAGGTGCTGGACACGCTGAGGCTGCGGGGTTGCTCAAGGAGAGCTGCGGCCAAACAGAACCATGTTTGGGTCTGAGTTCTGGCCCTACCACCCAGCTGTGAGCCCCAGGCAATGCACTTCTCTCCAAGCCTCTGCTTCCCATCTGTAAAGAGCAGTGGACAATAGTGCTCTCCTCACTGGATCACCGGGAGGATGTGATGGAAGCATGTCCCTCAAGCTGTAATAATACCTGGGGGAGGTAGTCTCCTTATTTTGCAGCCAAGAGCCTTCACCTGAGGTTCTGTGGTTCACCGTCATATGGATTTATGCCCCAACACACATGTATATGGATGTCGGGGATGCTGAACGAGATCAGAGCGGTGAAAGGCTCTTATGAATTGTCAAGACCAACTGAGAGATGAGCAGGTTCCCTGGAATATTACAGAAATCCCAGGGCCTCTGCCTCGAGTGAGGCATTTGCTCAGCAGACTGAGCAAGGTCCGAGGGGTCTCGCCTCTTGGGAATGCAGAAGTTAGAAGACCTGGTTCCTTCCCCAGAAATGAGCCAGCTGGCTGGAAGAGGCCAACATGGAGAGAATCCCTAACAAAATCACTGTTGCAGAGAACACTGTTTACCTGTTTCACTTCTCCAGCCCTCCTAACCTTCGCCAATACAAAGATTTAAAACTAGTTAATTTCCAAAACTCCTCAAGGTTGTAAAAGCCTGCTCCATGAAGACCAGACACACAGAATTCATTATGATCACACAGTGTAGAGTGTGAGCATGGTCCACGTCCAGAAAGGAGTGGTCGGCGCAGACCCGAGGACTGCAGAAAGCATCACAAAGAAGCTGGTTGTGACAGCGACCTCAGCGGTCAGCTGCATTCGGTTAGGCAGGTGGGGGTGTGGTGGGGAAGAAGTGTATTTTTAGGCTGGACTAACACTGAGAACATAAAACTGGAAATTCAGCATCTATCTGCAGGAGCCACGCGCACTGAGGACCTATTCTGTACTGACCTGGCCGCGGGCCCAGCGCTGAGAGGAGTAAACAAGCCACAGGCCGGTCCCCACAGGGCGCATGGCGCACTCCGTGGTCATATGCGAAGGGTCCCACAGAGGGTCACAGAGAGCCCCGTGCTGGGTGGGCACGGGAGGGCCAGGGCTGCACAGAGGGAACCAGGAGGCAGCACGGTGGAGAAGGAATCTGCCAGGGCATTTGAGGCAGAGGGGAAGGGACTAAGGTTTGCTGTGGACATGGCGGATTGAAGCTGCCTAACGTCGGGGGCGGTGGGGAGGGGGGGGGAGAGGGAGAAGAGGAAAGTTGCACAGAGATCACACGGTCCCTAGGAACTTTCTTTTTAAAAACCTTGGCCCAAAATCTCCCAAAAAGGCCTGGGCATCTGTACTCAGGTGGAACAGGGGACGCTTGGATTGGGGTCCCCTTGATGACAAAAACCAAGGTTGGGTGCACCTGACTCCCTCGCCCTGCCGCTGAGAGAGGCCTTCTGGCCCGTGAAGACCAATGTGACCTGCCATTTGCAGGGAGACCCTTCCTGGCAAGGGAGAGGGTTTGAAAGGGCAGAGTGGTGATCTGTGGGCTCTGGTTTCAGAGTGGGGCAGTGTGGGAGCCCGGGCAGGGTCGGGTTACAGCCTGACTCAGCGCATCTGGAAGTGAGGCCTAGGTTGGAGGTGGGGAGAAGGGTCACCCTGGGAAGGTATACAGAGGCAGGTTTCACACCGAGGATGAAAGGCAGGTGAAAACACACCAGCGTACACCCCACACGCCATCCAGCAGTCCTGAGCAGACACCTCTGATGAAAGCTAATCCACCATCTCCCCAGAAACACACACACACACACACACACACACACACACACACACACACTTGATAGAACTGCCTATCAAGAGAATAGTCACCCCTGGGGACACTTAGAAGAGCTTCTGGCTGATGTGGCCACATGACCTGTGGTACCTCCCCGCTGCAGAACTCCAGCAAATGGCCAAAGACTCTGAGGGGCACCCCCTGTACTGAGAGGGGATGAGCGCCCGGCGTGATAGGAGACCACAGAGTGGGCAGAGCACGGGCCCCAGGGTCAGGCTGCCCGGATGTTCGCAGGAGCCTGACTCCACAATCAGCCAGGCGGAATGTCCCTGGGCAAGGAGATTAAATCTCCATTCCTTAGCTTCCTCATCTGTAAGGTGTGGACATTAAAACCACCAGACTCACCCGGTTACGGCGAGCACTGTGTAGAAGTTACTATCTGCAGAGTGCCTGTCTCATCAAGTATTAGCAATCCACCCAACAAGGTGTGATGCTTGTGGAGAAAGGCAAAACAAAACACACTGCAATACGTACAAATGTTCAGAAGAAGGTATAGCACAAAACATGCCAACCTTAAAATGCTGGTCAGAAGGGACTATTTTAAATTCTCACATGGAGAGTGAGAATGTGTAACTTGACACAATGAAATGTAAGGGTTGATGAAGACATCATCCAGTTGCCCACGGAGGCCCCTGCTCACAGACCCGGAGGGCAGCCCTCTCCTCCGCCCACCCCAAGGCGGCCAGGCCCTGCCTTACCTGGTGGATGATCCCAGAGCCAGGCCTCCAGAAGCCAACACCATACTTGGCGCCTGCGGTAGCCAGGAAATTATACACTTCCTGGTTTATATCCTGTTGAGAGAAGTCAATAACCTGGGCATTAGAAACGGTTTGCTCATGCCTCCCTCCCTCCACCTCCTCTCTCCTATGACTGAAATGCTGGCACTGGAAAGACAGGTCCTCTCCTGGAGGCCTTCTACAAATAATTCCCAAAGGGCTTGGATGCCAGCCCACAAGTCTCGGCCGGCAGGCCCAGGAGAAAGACCAGGGCACAGAGACGGAGCCCAGTTCTGTGACACATGGCCAGGGAGTAGGTCCAGAACAAATCCCTTCCCCGCCCTGGTCTCAGCTTCCTTATTTGTAGAAGGGTCCTTCTGGCACTCAAGTCCTTGGTCAAGGCCAGCAGTGAGGGGGCAGCAAAACCCCACAGAACTAACTGGGGCATGGTGTGGGGAGGGGAACTGTCAAAGGGAAGCAGTGGGATGGAGTGGAACCCCCGGTTCCACCACGCCTCATGTTGGGTGCTGTTCTCCTTTGGAGCCTCGGATGTCTTGTATGTAATCCTGGCTAACATTTACTGAATGCCCACTATGGAAATGGTACCAAGCCAAAACAAACCCCATTTTACAGATGCAAAAACAGAAACTCAGAGGTCTTGCTCAAGACCCTAGGGTTAAACAGACAAGTCAGAGTTTGAATCCAGGCCTGTGCAGCCAGAACCCGACGCCACACTGTAATAAGAACAAAGCTACTGCCCTCACAGAGACTATATCTCAGAACACCTAGACTGTCTAACATGTGGTAGGTAGGTGCTCAACACTTGGTAACACGTTTCACGGGCCCCAAATGAAAGACTGTCAGATGGACCATGTTCTCAACTGTAGGTTTCAGCCAAACAGACAGCAGGATGGTAACCAATATGCCTGTAATTCAAAGGCAACTTCCCCAGGGAGAAGGGAAGACTACCCCAGAATATGGACATGAGGCCAAAGTTTAACTGGACGACCAAGCATATCCCTGGACAGGTGAGAACTCAAGGACAAAAGGGATGGTACCACAGGCAGAGGAGGCACTCACTGTGGGCTCCACTAGGCCCTCCAAGAAACACCCTCAAAGCATGCAGTCCCCTTCATTTACACTTCAGACCACTGGACTTTCCCAGTGGTCCAGTGTGGCTAGGACTCCACGCTCCCAATGCAGGGGGCCTGGCTTCAACCCCTGGTCCAGGAATTAGATCCCACATACTGCATATAAGATCTGGCGCAGCCAAATACATAAAGATTAGAAGTAATAATAATAAAATAAACCTCAGACCAACCACACATCCTTCTGAGGGCACGTGTGGTTCCCCCAAATGAATGAGTGGCAGACAAAGAGCCTGGGTCCCCACAGCAGTCTCTTTCTGATTAATAATTAATCCGTTGATTTCCTCATTTACAAATCAGTCACTAACATAACTGGTACCGAGGGCAGGAGGCAGGTGGCTGTGGCCATACTTGTTCCTGTGTCTATGTGGGTGGCGAGGGGAAGGTGGGGAAGACAGCAAGGTGGGCACGGAGCGTGCCGCTGTCTGCACCTGACTCAGCCTAGATACCTCTCTGGTGGTCTGTGTGACCCTGGACACATCACTCTGCCTCTCTGAGCTCCAACCAGAGGGAGCCTTTACAAATACATGGAAATCTGACCACTCTCCTGCCCAGAGTCCTCAAGGCCCTGCCTGCTCCTGCCCTGCCCACCTCAGGGCTCCAGGCCTACAGGGCCCCCCTTCCAGCTCCACAAAGGCATCAGGGTTTCTTCCAGCCTCAAGGCCTTTAGGAACTGTGCTCTGTCTAGAATGTGCTTCCTCATCTGTTCTGGTCTCAGCTTACATGTTACATCCTCCCCGACTCCACACGCATCTTACAGAGTCCCACACTCTTCCTTCAGCATACATGTACAGACTGGCAGTTACCAGTCTGCGTGACTGCTTAGCTGCTGTCTCTCTGCTGGCCTCTAAGATCCACGTTCATGCTGAATCTCAGCACAGTGCCTGGTGTAAAATCAATGTTCAATAAACATGGGTGAAATAAAGCAGGAATTAGGTTCTGAGACCCCACGACTCTGTGACTCTCATCTCCAGAAGGTAGATTTTAATCCATGAAGTCAGGGGCGGGCCAACTTCCAAGGGGGGGTGGCCCTGCTGTGGGCGGTCATGCATCTCTCAGGCTGAAGAGGACCCAGTCCCCACACCGCAGGACCCCGTCATGTTACCAGGTACCACGGCTGCTGCTAACATGGAAACCACGGGTCAGCCGGTGCCGCCAGGACACAGTGAGTGGGTGGGCAGAAGGTGCCTGAGTGGGAAAGCTGCCCTGCGCCTTTCCCAAGGGTCTGAGAGGCTTGCTGAGCTGTGCCAACCCTGGGAGCCGAAGCACTTTCAATTGCGTGCCCTGCTCTGTGCCCAGCCGGGCTGCAGCCCTGCCAGCATTCAGCTCCTGCCAACGGCCCCCAAGAGCAGGGCCCACTTCCATGACTGGATGGAGAGGGTGGAGGCCCAGAGCTGGGAGAGACCGCATGTTGCCAAGAACGGGTACACACAAAGGTACCACAGCAGAGCCCGGAGGAAGGTGCGTGAATTCAGATTCCTAAGGAAGAGAGAGGGTAATCCAAGATGTTCAGTGTGGCAGCCAGCCCCTTCCACCTTGTTAAGCCAAAATCACAGAAGAAGAAAGCCCACAAGGGGTTATCAGTAAGTGGGAGCTGGGAGAAGGGTCTGGCCCTAGCCTCACCCCTGTGCAGTTGTGGGACTGCATACAACTTGGACGCCTCAAGTTTACCAACAGTGACACTGTTCACCCACCTCCCTGCCGAGGTCCCCAGGGGCCTGTCAAGAACGAGTGATGCCTCTCCAGAGTGAATGGAGACATGGATCAGAACCTGCTACCTGCACCATTTACCTCACGCTGTTTTATTACAGAAGAAGGGCCTTCAGTATGGCTAAGACTACGGATGATTTTGTTTTCTTTAGGTTTTCTCAGTGTTTTCTAACATCTTTACAAAGAGCAAGTGGTATTTTTAGAGGCAGAAGAGAACAACAACAACAAGACTAAACCAGAGAACTAAACCTTAGAACTGGAGGGCGATGCCCTCGTTCAAAGGCGTTGCCTCTCATCCCGCGTCACAGCCACTGCCCACCTCCCCACCACCTTCAGCTCACCTTGGCCCGACGCAGGTCCTTCTCCCCGCCAAGCTGGGCCTCGATCAGATGGTCACAGTGGATGGTGGACGGCACGGCGACCTTGGGCAGGCCGCTGCTGATGAACTGCAGCATGGCCATCTGGGCCGTGGCATCCTGCATGGCCACGCGGTCAGGCCGCAGTCGCAGGTATGTCTTGCCCCGCTCGATCTCCTGGTTGGCCGGGTCATCCAGGTGTCCATACACGATCTTCTCTGAGAGGGTCAGAGGCCGGTTCAGCCTGGCGGGAGAAGGGAGGGCTGCATGATCCTGTATGCCCACAGCCAGGCCCTCTCAAGTACAAGGCAACCTTGACAGCAGCCAGGGAGGGGACCCTGTGCCCGAGGTGGAGATGAATCGGTACCCCCAGCACACAGCACAGCGCCTGGCATGCACCGGGTCCAAAATCACTTGAAGAATGACAATACCACAAGAGGGGGAGGGGTTTCTTTTTTCCCTGAAGGACATTTACTTTCCCAGCATATTAAATCCCTATTATCTGATGAGCACTTTTTTCATCTACGTCTCACTGTTTAATCGTTACTATATCCTCGTCATTGAGTAAAATGACCAAGAGGTGACAGGGAGACTCAGCGGAGTGACGGTCAAAGCTCAGGTTCTCAGGGCCACGGCCACCGCCCCCTTGCAGTCGGGACACAGAGAATCCGCCCGGCGACGCCCTCACCCCATCCTCCCCGCCCTGCACCCACAACCCTCCACCTTGGGTGCTGGAAGCCTCATCACCCTATTATGCTAAAGCCTTCCTCATCAGCCCCGCTTGCTCTCACCCCACTAAGACGGGTGAGGCTGCCAGCTTTCAGAACAGAACCTGACGCCAGCCTCACAAGACCCTGTTCCTAGACCCTGTTTCCCTGTGGGGCCCCGCCCTCCCTTCCCATCAGGGTCCCTGGGGAGGTGCAGCTGCCTCTCGTCACAGCCTCCCCCCCACACACTGAACTCCCTACGTGGGGGCCACCTCTCACCACCCCCCACCCCCACTCGGCATAGCCCATCTGCCTGGACCTCACACTCTGCCTTCCGCCATTCGCAAAGCTTAAGCCAAACCTGAGGCCTCCTCAAAAGGGCAGAGTTCCACTCATACCCAACGAACCACACACACACACACACACAAACTGGACTCAGAGTCAGGGTTTAGACCTGACTCTATTATTAAACCCACTGTGTAACCAGATAAGCCGGGAGCTCACCAGTCCGTCTCTAAGGTCCAGGGCTGGTACTGGAAAGAGACAACAGTGCTCATTCAGCACACGTTTTTAAGCATCTTCACCGAGGTATAACTGGTGTGTAACAGACTGCACATATTTAAAGTGCACAACTGATCAATTCTGACATATGAACATATCCATGAAATCATCACCACATCGAGACAATGCACACACCCACCACCCCAAAGTCTCCTCGTTTCCCTTTATGATCCCTCCCTCCTGCCCCCATCCCCCGGCAACCACTGATCTGCTTTCTGTTATAGTTTTATCCTAGCGCTTTTAGACCAGCACTGCCCTAAGCAATATATACATCTATACTTGGATGTACAGAAGTCACTTTATTCTCACAACACAGAGGAGCAACCTGAAGCCCAGTGAGGTGAAGAACCTTGACCCTGGTCATGAGGCAGCGAGTGGACGAGCTGGAAGGCAAGGAGCCACTGTGGCCTTATACTGTCTTCTCAATAACACCTAGAAACTCAGGGTCCAGCCCGGCCTGTAGCCAGTGTTCCACTACTATCATCACTGCTACTGCTGTTACCAATACAACTCTGCGGGGAAGCAAAGACAGGCCCTTCTGCTGGCCTGGGTGCCAGCCCCTCACCCCCAAGCTGACTTCACCCCCTGAGAGCAAGATCTCCCTAGGCTGCTGGCTCTGTGGGCAACTGCAGAGCAACTGGCAATGCTGAGAGCCTCTCAGCTCTGCTGTCATGAGAACTTGAATAAAAATAGCCCTGGCCTGGAGTACAGCCTGCCCCCTTTAGTGGAGCATCTCCCTGGCTGGTGAGCAGGCAGTGACTCACTGCGCAGAGCAGAGCCTCTCTTCCTGCGTCCCAGGGGCGATGAAAAATAGCACATGGGCTTTCAAACCAAAGACCTTGACAGCAAATGCCTGAAGCTGTATAAAAAAGCTAAGGACGAGTTCATCATCACATTTCTGTGGGGATTAAGTGGGACGGCAAAATGGATTCTCAATGTCCATCTGCGGCCCCGCTTCACTGAATGACAGAGACTCAGTCCCCAGGAACAGAATCAGGCCCCTCTGTCACAGGGTAGAGGAGTCACCCCCACGCAGGACCCTGGCCCTCTAAAACACCCTTACATCTAGCCTAATCCTCTAGCATGTTTCTAGAATGGCCCCACTTCCACCTTCTTTTTTCTATGGAAGGGTCTCTCGACTGTGGCACCACTGACAGTCTGGGCCAGATGATTCTTTCTCTCAGGGGCTGTCTTCCATACTGCAGGGTATCTGACGGTATTCTTGGCCTCTACCCACTAGATAATAGTCAACCACCACCCACCCCGGGTTAGGACAACCTACAAAGTCTCCAGACACTGCTAAATTTCCCTGGGGGACAAAAATCAACCCCTCACCCCCACCCTCAGTGAGAACCACTTCTCTATGGCAACAATGAAAACGGAACATCCCTAGTCTGTACTAATCTGGAAAATGCCCAAAGTTATTGATTGGACTTTTCTGGTTGGTGCAAGGTTGGAATAAAAAGACAAAGGAAAACTTTTAAGGGGAGGGTTAACTTCGCTGATAAAAATTAAAACCAAAAAAATTTAAACCAAAGGGCAGTTTTTTTATTAACTTTTTGAAGCAAAGACAAAATGGTGAAAACTTTTGTCAAGTTATGGAAAGCAACCTTCTGTGTTACTTCTCCCAAGCAGGGGGAGGTGTTTTTGCAGACTAAAGGAAAATCCATTCTTTTTCCATTGACCTGTGATTTGAGAGCTCTAAGAATAAATAAAGTAAGTGTTTTCTGTGTAAAAAGTATTTGCACAAGTTCGCAGAGTGATGAAGACAGTAGTTTCAACCCTGACTGCACGTCAGAACCCACTGGGAAAGTAGCCAGCGCTCCTCACAGTCTGATGTCCACTCAGTCACCTGCGGCTCCTGTGAAAACTGCAGATTCTGACTCAGTGGGCCTGGGGCGTGGCCTGAGGTTCTCTATGTCTAACAAGCCCCCAGGCTGCTTGCTGAAACCGATGCCGCTGATCCACGAGCCACATTTTGAGTAGTAAAGTTCACACCAACTGAATCAAATGAACACCCTTGATGGACGTTAAGAGGTCCTTATTGTAATTAGGTGATGCTATGCTGGAGGCTATTGGAGATAAAGACTAAGATAGTCCCTGACCCTTAAAACTAAGGTGAGGATACCAGTAAGGCGGAAGCAAAGTGGCGCAGTGGCCAGAGCACTGGACAAGGTCCAGTCCCTCACTCACTGTGTGGTTCTGTCCACCTGCGCCCGCACGTCAGCTCTAAGCAGGGATGCTGTGTGTACTCATACTGGTTCTCGCATGCTGCCAGGGCCACGTCACCCGACAGGCAGGCGTGCAGCTCTATCTGCAGTGGTTCATGCTCCAGGAGCAGTGCTGCTTGGTATGCAGGACCAGCCCCCATCCCTCATCCTCTTGTGGGATTTTGTCCATCCCCTCTCCTGAGTCAGCATCCAGCCCAGAACCTGGCACTCAGAACAGCAGAGCAAGACGGCTGCCACTTCGCCACATGGGCAAAGAGAGGTCCAGAAAAAAGGGATGCTCAAGTTCCCGTCTGAGCTTCTTTCTGAGTCTCAAGGTTGAGTTCTCCCCTGGGCTGATGGACCAAAGAGGAAATATAGAAATTCCGAAGTCCCTGGACCTGGCAGATCCCAGAGGAGTGGCCCAGGGCCAGTCGTCTGTCCTGGAAAGGGTAGCTGGGACGTTCAGGCCACAGCACCAAAGAGGGCCTGAGATCTTCCCTGGGGCCCACATCTCCAGGCTTTTCCTTGGCAGAGAGGGCGGAAGGCCCACCAGTGATCCGGAACACCCTTCCACAGCAGGGACCGCTATGCCCTCAATGCCTAGACCCTGTCACCATCGTCCTCCGCCAAGCACCTCTGACACTGTCTGAGAGGGGCAGGGAACACCAGAAACACCGACCCCTCTCGCCGTCTCCACAGCTTGCTCTATAGCCTTACCGTTTGCGGACAATGTTAATGTTCTTCTCGAGCAGGTCATAGCGGATGTACTCATTGGGTTCGAAGTGGCTCATGGCCACCTTGGCCCGTTGGCACAGGACTGAGGCCACATGGTACTGCCGCACACCCAGGGCTTTCTGCAAGAAGAAAGACAACAGCGACTGTCAGCGGAATATTCAGGGCGGTGCACCCCAAGGGATGGCACAGAATGGTGAGAAAAGCAAGGAACTGAAGTATCAAGAGCTGTTTGGTGACTGCAGCCTCAGTTTCCTCGCCTGGGCTCAGGAATGATACAGCAGCCACCAGGAACACAGCCTGTGGTAGGAGAAAGTACAAGGGATTTATAGTCACAATGGCTACTTACAGTCACAGAGTCAAGTTCTATCCACCTGAGAAAATCCTCCGTCATCTGAGGGCCAGAAGAGATGGGCCCTGGTGACACAGCCAGCTGTAGCAATCACGCAGCTGCCACTGGGAAGGCAGAACGAGAACCTGTGTGGAGGCTCTCACTAAGCTCTAAAGCACCACCCAAACGGTAGCTGCTGTCCTACCTGCTCTGTAAGTCCCTTGAGGTTTGGGATCAAGCTTTATTTGTCTTATTTACATGTATCTGGACTACCTGGCACATTAGAGATTGAATAACAGCTGAATAAATGGAAAAATTAGCGAGGAAAACCTGCACGTGAGCTTCGGATGTCTCCTCATCCCTTGAAATGGTGGTGGCCAGCCCTGCTCCCCTGGGAAGTGCAGCAGACTTAACAGCTGGCCAGAATGTGGTACAGTGATGCTACAAGGCCTCTGAGACCTGGTCATAAGAAGGATAACTTCCACCTAGCTCTCTTTCTTTGATTGCTCTGGGGCAAGACACCACTGCTGTGAAAACATTTAGGCAGTCCTAAGAGAGGCCCGCCTAGAGAGGAACTAGACCACTTGCCAAAGCCCAGCATGACCTTGCTAGGCAGGTAAGCACCCCATCTTGCAAGCAGGTGAAGTGCTCCAGCCAAAGCATAAGCTTCAGATAACCAGTGGCCTGGCCAACAATCTGGACAGCGATTTACTGAGTGAATCAGAGCCAGAACCCGGCCAAGGTGCTCCCAAATTTCTGGCCCACAGGAACTAGGAGTGAGAAACGGTTACTGTTGTTTTCATCCTCCAAGTTTGGGAGCAACAACTTATTAACGCAGCAGTAGACAAGAATGATTGTTAAGTTGTCAGATCTGTATGAGTTCATTTTAAACTGGATGACAAACTTCACAGGGTGTGCTATGACCAAGGAAGAATAAACGAACCCAAAGAAGCGACAGAAGGAAAGAACAGTGGGGCTCTGGGTCTAGCAGCTCCCACCTTGGGCAAGGAAAGAGGCAAATCTCAGGACACTGCCCCAGGCTCCCTTCTGTAAGTCACCTGGGTGTTTGAGTCCAAGCCCTGCTGACCTCAGCATCTGAACCAACATGAGTGCATCGCGGCCACTCCCTGTTCAGGTCACCCAGAGAGGACAGCAGATCCCATAGGAAACAGCAACCACCCCCCCACCCCAGCACAGCAGGAGCAAACTCCCAATGCAGACTTAAGGTCCACTTGCCCTCCAGCTCAAACTCCACCAGGGAGTCTACTGCCTGCCCTTCTTCTATTGGGTGAAGAACCTTCCAATCAAAGGACTTTTTTTTCTGGGAGGCAGTACATCATGCAGATCTTGGTCCCCTGCAGTGGAAGCATGGAGCCCTAACCACCGGACAGCCAGGGAAGTCCCAAAGGACTTTCAACAGGCTGTGCAGAGGAGGAATGTGGGACCCCACAGTGGCAGGTAATAATGCTGACTGGAAAAAAAGGACAAAACAATATGTTCATGTAGAATATAACTCTGGGATTAAAAAAAGGGGGGTATTAGTGAGATGTGCTAAACTGTACTAAACATTCCGAGTGCATCATGTCCATCAAATTCTCACAGCCACCCGGTGAAGTGGTGCCGATGACGAGCCTGTTTTCAAAGTGAGGCAACTGAGGCCCTCATGGAGTGACCGAGGCCACAGAGCAGCCACCAGGACCCAATCCAGCCTGACTGACCCACTTTCTGCCAATGCCCCAGGCCCTCCCCCTAAGCTCTGCCCCTAAAATGGGGATAAACTCTACACTCTTAGTAACAACTGAATCACCTACAGGCTCTGTCCTTAGTCATGATATGCTCTGCTTACCAACCATGTGCAAACGTCTGTTCCCAATAGCCAGCACTGCCCAAGAGGACCTTCTGCTCTGATGGACATGTTCTAGATCCTCACTGTCAAACATGGTAGCCGCCAACCACACATGACTGTGAAGTGTGCCCAGGGTGGCTGAGGAGTGGAATTTTTTATTTTATCAACTTTAATTAACTTAAATTGCCATATCAGATGACTCAGGTTTATATATTAATAAGGATGGAAAGAGTTTTTAGGAAGCCTGTTTATTAAGTCATTTCTTCTAAAAAGATATCTATATATTTAAAAATTTGGACCCCTTCCAACACCAGGAATTCATCATCCCACACAACCACCAATCCATTGTTGAAAATTTTCAAAATATTCTCCCAAAATATCAGTCAAACTCTTGTTTCCTTGCACAATCTACTTTTCAGTTGGGGGTCTGCCCTCTCAGACCACATAAAATAAATCTAACCTGTCTTCCTCAGGACATTGCTTCCCAGGCCTCAGATGCAAGAGAATCTCCTGAGATTGTTAAAAATATGTAATCCTGGGAATATTCTAGCAGTTAGGACTTTGGCATTTTCACTGTGTGGGCCCCAGTTCAATTCCTGGTTGGGGGACTGAGATCCCGCAAGCCACAAGACATGACCACCACCACCAACAACATAAACCTAAAGCTCAACCCACATTAGCAACTCAGCTGACGGTGGGGTCCTCCTCAGCTATTTAAAGACAGGATCTATCATATTCTCTAAATCTCCTCTTTACTAGGCCAAAGGTAGCCCTGAGTGTTTCAACTCTTCCTATATACAGTGTGTTTCTAAATTCTGCAACAGCCTGACCATGCCCTATGCTGAGGGCAAAGAGACAGTAGACTTCACCGCTGTCACACACATCACTTCCTACCTCCTAACACCTCAATGGACATCATCCTAACTGACCACTCAAGCCACACTGTACTACTGACTTCATTTTCTGTGCAGAGCTCTACCTTGATCTTTTTTTTCTTCTTTGAAATTAATCTGTGCCTTTATTTGCCAGTACAATTTAACTACAGGAGCTTGCAAACTTTTTCGATCTAAAAAGTACACAATATATCACTGTCCAACAAATACACAAACATATATAATACATATATGTATATAGCAGTGAAACAAAATTTTTCACAAAACATCTATCCTAAGTCATTTTAAGTTTTTTCCTTTTTAACAAAGGATGAACTGTCATCAAGTCCCCAGTTCATCTGAGGGTCCACTTTAATGAAGTGAACAGTGTTGCACATTCTGTGCGTCTGGACAAAAATATGAGGACATCCATCCACCATTACACTGTCATACAAAGTATTTACATCCACCACTACATTGTCACACAACGAATTTTCACTGCTCATAAAAACTTTTGTACTGTGCATTCAACTCCCTTCTGCCCCCAAATTCCTAGCAACCATTGACCTTTTAATTGTCTCCATAGTTTTGCCTTTTCCAGAATACCATATAGTTGGAATCTATTTTTCTTCTTTTTCTTGAAAAGGGAGGTTCAAAGCCTTGAGCCTCTCATGGCCCACCCATGCATGGACCAGACAGGCTCTAGGTGGCAACCCCCCCAACCCCAAGCAATCACTGTAGCTTTCTAGGCAACACTGAGCCTTGTTCCACAGGTCCTGCCAACAGCCACGTGGAGGTACAGGGGTACACGTGCTGTGTGTTTGTTCACAGGAAGGTCACAAGTTTTGTGCCCCTTGTCACAATAGCCCAGGTTCCTGTTTGGTGTGTTATAAACATACCTTAACCTTGACTTAATTTCAGCACCGGTTTCTGTCCACCTCCAGCCCCTTGTGGTCTGTAGGAGTCCGGGTCAGTCACCCCAGGTCTGATAGGCTGGCCTTCCCAATGGACATCAGCCACACACACAGTAGGAACAACTCTCAGGCTGTTCATTCAAGCCTCAGTACAAATGTGACCCATTCCAGGTCAGGCTCCCCAGGGTGGACGTTTGGTCATGCCAAGCTATTTAGTGACACTCCCTAGGTCTTCAACCCTCAATAATAACAATCACCTGACTGAAATGTCACTAAGCCATCACTTATGCTTTGTGGTTAGGGACAGCCTGACTGACCTGTCAATTGTCCCACAGAAATCAACACTCAGCACTCATTGTTTTACTAATCTACTAACTGCAACAAAAAAGTAAAAGGATGTTATTAGCTTGGCTGTAAGACTGTAAGCAATTCACTCTGTTCCTCCAGGCCTTAGCTTTTCAAAGGGTGAAACCTCAGCCATGCTCCCTGCTTCAGAGCTGAACTGAGAGGTTTGAAGTGTATGAAGTGTCATGTTTAACTCTGAAGAGGCTGACCTCAAGGGCAAAGACATCATGTATCATTCATTCACAGACCACGTATATCTCACATGTAAAATAAAATGAACACTAGGCTACGGGTGATCTTAGAATAAAAATAATAGGGACATTCCTGGTGGTCCAGTGGCTAAGACTCCTAGCTCCCAATGCAGGAGACCTGGGTTTGATCCCTGGTCAGGGAACAAGATCTCCCTTGCCACAAGGATGATCAAAGATCCCATGTGCAGCAGCGAAGACTCAACACAGCCAAGTAAATAAAAAAATACATATCAAAATAAATGAAAAAAAAAAAAAACACAAAAAACCCAGTCATTACTTATTTAGTACCTGCTCTATGCCACCAGGCATTTTCTGTGTCTAATTTTGTGCAAGATGATTGTTATTCCCATCTTACAGATGTGGAAACTGAAGGTCAAAGAGGTTAAGTCACAAGTCCTACACGTGATAAGCAGTAAATCCAGGATGTAAGCACGGGCCTGTTTAAGAGGAGCCAGTTTCCCTGGATTCTGCTGCCCTCTTGCCCCACAAAGCCTATCCTCTCCCATTTGAAGGCAGCCTGGTGTCATGGTTCAGATAGAAGACCCATAGTCAGACTGCCCAAT